CTCTGACAAATTAGCCATCATGAAACACATGGACATTGCTGCTGCTGCTGTTGTCGTTAGTTGCAAAGTCATGTCCGACCCATCGCAACCCCATGGACAATGTTCCTTCAGACCTTCATGTCCTTGACCATCCTCTGGAGTCCATTTAAGCTCACGCCTACTGCTTCGGTGATCCCACCCAGCCACCTCTTTCTCTGTCATCCCATTCTTCTTTTGCCCTCAATCTTTCACAGCATTAGGCTCTTCTCCAGTGAGTCCTTCCTTCTCATTGGGTGGCCAAAGTACTTGAGTCTCATCTTCAGGATCTGGCCTTCTAAAGAGCAGTCAGGGTGGATCTCCTCTAGGACTGACCGGTTTGATCGCCTTGCAGTCCAAGGGACCAGCAGGAGTCTTCTCCAGCACCATAGTTGAAAGACATTAACGACATCTAAAGACTATGCAAAAAAAGACAATCAACCAGGAAATAAAAATACCCAAGCATCTCTCCACTGGCAATCAGCACCCAGATCACCATAGATTAACTCCAAGGTTAACATCAGACCAACAATTAAGTAAACAATAACTCAATCAAAGAAGTGTTAAAGAGCCAACAGTGAACAGCCAACCAAAGAGGTTATAAGACCGTCCCCACCCACACTGACAGGTCAAGCCACCAGAATATAAACTCAAACTGCAGTCTGCTAGCAATGATCATGTTTGCTGTCCACTCCAGCGTGCATGCACATGCCGGCCAGCTGATTTTCGGCCTTCCGGCCAGGAGACTCTGTTTTCGGCCTCCCCAGGCTCCAGGAAAGCCTCTGGAGCATGGGGAGGGTGAAAAACAGGCCCAATCATTTCTGAACTTCCAGGTTGTGCGTGTATGTGCATGGGGTGGGGGTGGGGTGTTGCATTATGGGTGCTGGCACACACACTCGCTATTGCATGTGCGTGCTCACGATTTTGGCACCCAACAACAAAAAGGTTAGCCATCACTGCCTTAAATTATGCTCCCTTATCCTTTACTCTGCTACTGAGCTCTGTAAAGGCACAAAAGAATAGCAGATCTTTAACCCATCCCCTATTGCAAAAGATATGGGCATGCTGGTTGAGCTGAATCCACACCTATAGTTTCTGTGGTGTAGTGGTTATCACATTTGCCTAACACGCAAAAGGTCCCTGGTTCGAGACCAGGCAGAAACACATTTTTTTCCCCTTAACACAGGAGCATTTCAAGTTCCAAGCCTATACGGAAAATGTCTCCCTGCACCATCTCAGTTCTGCCTGAGTTCCTGGAGTGTGGCAGACTGTTCCTCCTTCCTCATGTGCAAAAGAAATATATTTTGTCTCAGCAATGCCAACCAAGAACTAATCTAGCAAAAATTAAAAAAACAACGATGCTGTATAATTATGGGCTTCCTTTATTCTGTTGGAAGAAATGTCCTTCTGGGTTCAGTTCCAAGTGGGGGAAAAAGACACTGGAGACATGGAGGCTGCTTGGAAAGATGGTTTAATGGTGGACATGACCACATGGCTTGAGCTCCTGAACAGAAAAGGGAGATCACCTGCTTCCAGATGTTGGATGAAGAAGAAAAAGAGACAGATGCTGAAAGTCCCTGGTTTTATGCCCTCTCTGGCCTTTAAAATTGAGCTTGTGTTCTAATTGGTTGTCAGACTCCCATGGGGCCATACAGGGGTAACTCTCTACACCCGGGATGGCAAACCTATGCCACATGTGCCACAGATGGCACGCAGAGCCACTTGTCAGCTGACTTCAGCCTTTTTGAGGTCATTTTTTGCCCTACCCAGGCTCCAGAGACTTTATAGGAGCCTGGGGAGGGCGAAAACNAGTCCAGTCACTAAACAAACTGTTGTAGGTCGAAGAATACTTGTACCTGGATCGGGATTCCAACCAGGTCATCATATGGAGACAAAGTTGGTCACTTACTTTTGGTAGGTGTGGAATGTGGAGTGCTCTGTCCTTGTCCTTCTTGGCCCCTTGGTGGTCTTTGATAGCATCCACTGCGGTCTCCTTCTAGAACTAGTCAGTGCGTGGAATGGTGTTGCAGTGGCTCCCCCTCCCTTCATCCAGTGTTGGTTTCAGTTGGTGTTGGGGGCAGAGTGATCTAACTTAGGGGTCTCCAACCTTGGCAACGTTAAGTCTGGAGGACTACAACTCCCAGAATTCCCCAGCCAGCTTTGCTAGACCCCTGGTCTAACCTATTTATGTGTGTGTGAGTGAGCTGTGAGTCACTATTCAACTCTGTTTAGGCTTCCCTCAGAGTTAAGGTTAGTATGGCTGATGCCTACTCTTCGGGCCTTCCTCCTGCTTCCAAGGCCAGCCCCACAGACCACCACAACAGAAGCCAATCCCTCCCCTGAACCAACTCATCAGTAATTATTAAGAGAAAATGTCCTGGTACAGGTAGTCCTCAGCTTATGACCACTGTTGGGATCAGAATTTTTGTGGCCAAGCAAGGTGGTTGGTAAATGAGTCATAGTCCTATACAGTGCCCGATTTTATTACTTTTCTCCCACGGTTAAGTTCAACGGCAGTTGTTAATTGAATCGTGTGGTCGTTAAGCCAATCTGGGTCCCTCCAGTGATTTTGCTGGTTCAGAAGCCGCCTGGGAAAGGTCGCAAATGGTGTTCTTATAATTGCAGGAAGCGGCAATGGTCATAAATACAGGCCTGTTGCAATGGTCATAAATACAGGTCTGTTGCCAAGTGCATGAATTTGGATCATGTGATAGGGGAGAGGGGAATTGAACCATGTGAGTAGCGGGCTGGTCCACATGGACACAACTCGAGCGAGTGGCGGGCTGGTGTGCATGTGTGCGCCTGCTGCTTATACAAGCTGAGCTGCACACGTGTATGTGTGTGTGCGCACTTTGGCCAGCCACTCACATGGCCCAATTCCAAATAGGTCACAACCCGGTATTGTCCTACGGCGGGGGTGGGCTGCTGCGGGTTTGCAGAGATTTGGGAGAACCTCTAGCTAAGAATCTGCCCAGTTCAGAAAACCCGCAAATCCCACCCCTGCTGGCCTCGCCCCTCTCACTCCACTCTGCCCCAGGACTCCCCATGCAGCCTGTTTGGGATGCCTGGAAAGTACAGGGCCGTCGTGGAGGCTTGGGGAGGGCGAAAAACGGGCCTCCTGGAAGTTCCAGAAGGCTGGAATCATTTCCGGCCTCCAGAGCCTGGGGGAGGCCATTTTTGCCCTCCTGGAGGCTTGAGGAAAGCCTCCGGAGCCCGGGGTGGGTGAAAATGCCCCCCCTCCATGGTGCAGGAGGCCAACTAGGCCACGCCCACCATGGCCACGCCCCCCCCAGTAACCGGGCAGAGATTGCTAACCCATTGCTAAAATTTTTGATGCCCACTCATGGGCTGTGGCCTGGGGATTGAGGA